GTGCGTGTGTGTGTGTGTGGGTGTGAGAGATACTATACGGTCTAGTCGTTGAATCTGCTTTCAATGCATCGCTTGCATTATTAGAGACGCTGTTTCTGCCAATGGTATTAAATGCATACATTAGTCGAGCTTCCGCAAATACTGCATAACGGAATCAAATCAAGTTCATTTGTTGTCACATTTTACATGACAACAGGGGCTCAGACAAAAAGCTGCTAAAGAGCAGCTTGATAAAGGTCCCAGCCCGGTGCAGTTCACGAGAGTCTTAAACGCAATTGGACAACAACTGCACTGTGTAGAGAGACGAGTACAAACCAATGCAAACGCATGATTTATGCTATACTAAACTAGATGTGATGCGCACATACAGACGGAAAATACAAAGACAAGAAAGAAAACACGACACATTAAAGCAATAATAGAATTGTACTTTAAATAATACATTCTATTCATAACAAAAATATCAGCAGTATTCAAAAATCACATTAAAAATTCACTTATTTTCCTTCTCTCTGTGATAGTGATTACAAATGTCGACCCTTTCTATACAAACTATTTAGCATGGTGGACAGTCTAAAATGAAGCGTCTGATCTAGGTAACTTGTAATTTGTAGGCGCTGGGCAAATCATCCAGGGCTCATTTTGTCTTAGGTTGCGTAGGATGATGCGATGTTTCAGGTTGGCTAGTTTAATAAAATGAACATTATTCCACATATGCTAGAACATTATTCCGGCACATTATTGTGCTGAAGAGCCCTGTGATACGTTGGCAGAAGCTTGTAAGCATACATCTGCTAAATGTTTTTTTTTTTTTTTTTCTTTTTTACCTTCAGGGATTTAAGTAGTGATTTTGTGGAATGAAGAAATGAAGTTCCTAAAATTGCACGTAACTTCCCTTGTTTTTAACAGATGCAGCTTATTAAGATTACTTTTTGTTGCCACAGTGGAAGACTTTCGACACCATACACCATTTAAAATTAAAAAAAAAAAACGCAAAAGTTTTTTTTTGTTTTATTTCGCGAATTAAGTTGCGTTGTTTGTGCCAATGTTGTTGCATTTCGTTCGACCACAGTGGCAGCAGCAAAAGCTACGAGCATGAGATCTCGGCTTTGAAACGTGATTTCGTGGAAGGAGCGCACGGGCTCATCTCTGGTTTCATTGTTACTTGGCAAACGGTGAAGGCTAGGGTCACAGTGGAGGCAATCGGCGCGTCGGAGAGAGACTTGGCTCTACATTACTAGTTTCACGCAATGCTGGCGAAGCCATGGGCGAAAAAAAAAAAGATAAAAGCCGGTTTTGCGCGATTTTTTTTAGTAACACGCTGATCTCCGAGGAAGACAAAATCGACGTCCAGGACACAAAAAGACGTTCCGCGTGAGAGGGCAGTTCCCCTTCCCGTCTTTTTCAACTGCTTGGGTTACGGTCTCGGCCCGCACCTTTGGTGATGGTCGTCACGTGCTTCGCCTTTGTTGCTCTGATTGGCTGGAGGGGGATCCAACATTCGC